CTATTTTCATCGAACCCCCCCATAATGGAGATACCTTTGAGCACCCAGTAGGTCTGATCATCCGTAAGGTTGCCTGGGCAAGGTTATGACGTACCCAGCGCCTAGGTCAAGAAGTCGAGAGGCAGCTTCACTCCATTCCTCCACATGTCTTCATGCCGTGGCGCCTAATTAAAAACAGGGATGACTTTTCCGTTACCTTCAAGTGTTTTCTTGCATTATTGATTAGAATGTTCCCGCTGGAAGAAGCAGGGCAGGCGGGCATTCTGAGGAGCTCTTCTAGCGACGCAGCAGTTCGGGCCGAAACGAGATAAAGCACACGGTAGGGCCAGCTCTAAAATGACATTTGTTTGCGATGCGGAGGAGCAATGCGCCCATTATGATGCCTTGCGCCTCAACGCCATAACGTGTGCGTCTTCATTGAGAATATCACTCGTGTCCCCTGACACTGTAGACATTCCTGTGTATGCCAAGACGAAACCCTGTATTTTAAGAACACTTCGAATATAAATCACTTCTCTGCTAACACGTACTTAATGTAAATAAACTTTCGTCCGAAATATCGCGCCGTGTTTTCGGTGCAATGAGAGTTCGTGGAGGGAGACACGCGAATTACATCCGCACAAACTGAGGTCTGGTATGAGGAGAAGTGAGGTTTGAGGTTCCCACAGCGGTGACTGCGCAGATTATTCCGTGAAGCCCGGTAGATCGTTACCAAGTTTTCGGAAAAATGATTACCTCCATCTACTGTACCTTGAAGATAGAGGACAAAGTATCTCCGAAACATTGGTAACGACCTGTCGGACTAAATGACGTCATATTTCAGGAAAGAATAATGTTCAAGGAAGAATCTTACCTTCCTTCTGTAGGATTTTAGACCTGAGACTTAAAGACGAAAGGGTATGAAGTAAAGAGAAGCACATGTTGCCCGAATTACCGTATTTACGCATGTATAGGCCGCGTGCGTGTATAGGCCGCAGCACAATTTTCAGACAAATTATAGAAAAAATAATTTTCTTGGAATATTATTTCAGGAGTAGAACACCCTCTATTACTAATTATGAATATAATTTTTTTAAAATGAAGTGTGATTTCGAATATTTCGAATATAAGCCGCACCCCAGTTTTCCTCTTGAATTTTTGGAAAAAAATGTGCGGCCTATACATGCGTAAATACGGTAATTTATGTTCTCTGTTAAATCGTGGCCGGTCACGGTAGCCGAGCGGTCTAAGGCATGAACTGTCTTCGCTCGCTCGGAAGCCGGGATCGTGGGTTCGGATCTGTTTCCTGTGAGGTACGAACTGGATTCTTATATATTATTCTCATACTCGTACACAGCCGGTCACGGTAGCTGAACGGTCTAAGGCAGGCATGTCAAACTCAACTTGTACAGAGGGCCACCTCAGCCCTCTAAATAATAGTCCAGGGCCGCACTTCAAAATAGAAATATACATTAGATTTTGATACAAGGAAATTTAATTCTATTCACTATTTAGGAATAATTTCGATGTAATTACCTAAAGTCACATATCTTACAGTTTTAAAAAGCAAGAGAATGCCATTTTAGACAAGTATCATACAACTTTTCAATATGTAAAAAGAGAGATAAACAAGAAATTATGTTAGAAATAGCAAAACATTGAATTACTAACATCAAAATTACATCTGTCGAACTTCATAAACTGTTAACTTGGAAGACAAAAAATCAGCAACTATATTGTTTCACTTTAATATCGTTAATAATATTATTCATGAGTGAATTAAATTACCAGTTCAATGTTTTTATGTCTATTAAGTCGCATGTTTATTCAGTTTGGTATTAATTCAATGTAGTCAGTAGTGTGTTTTTCTTGAAATATTCGAATGGTGATGATTGATGAAAAACTACATAAACAATAAAAATTGCTACATAACCAAATGAACATTTATTAAACTACTTACATTACTGGTTTTTACTTGAGAACTGGCATCTTTTCCGGGATACAAGAGATTTAATGTAAGCTACTTGACTCTGTGAAGATGCTATTTTTACGATGGAAGACAAATGTTCTTTTGTGAGTCTTGATCTGTGCGTGGTTTTGGTTGTCTTCACAAACGAAAATAACTGTTCACAAAGTTAGGTGGAACCAAACATGGCCAGTATTCTCGCAGCAGACTGGCGCATTTTAGAGTACTGGTTTGGCAAATAAGAAAAAAATTGAGGGATACCAATTTCATTATATTTGTCTTTCAGTACTGAATCACACTGAATTTCTGTTAGTTCCATTTGAGTGTTACTATCTGCCTTCTGAACATCGAATGAGAATGGAGCCGTAAACAAAGAGAAATCGTTCTCGCACGATTTGAAATCTTTGAGCCTATTTTCAAAGTCATTAATTAAGTCCTTTATTTGGGAAACATAACTGGTAAAATAAGAATTACTGTGGGACGTTTTGAAATCCTGGCAGGTTGGAAAATGAATTAAGTTGCCATTCTTCATCTGTGCTTCCCAAAGTTTGAGCTTTAATTTAAAAGCCTTAATACTGTCATACACTGAAACTACAACCTGTCTCTTCCCTTGTAGCTTTAAATTTAAGTCATTTAAATGCCAGGTAGTGTCCACCATAAAGGCCAAATCCTGAACCAAATTGTCGTCACAAAGTTTGTTGGGTAATTCGCCTTTCATTTCCAAAAAAAATCTTAATTTCTTCTCGAAGAAGCCAAAAGCGCATTAAAACACTATAACACTATACTTGGGGTGGTGAGGCTGTGCGGATTTTAGTGCATTAACCTTCTGAAATACACTAGTTTGTCCTTCACGAACTTTACAAACCGTTAGTTGGACAAACCCTTCTGCAATTCTGAGAATCACTTTTCCTGCAGCCTGCTAATTTATGTCTGCGTGAGACTTCTTGTCTTCTGGTCTGTTGGAAAATCGTCTTTACAAAAAATATTTCTACTAAAATTTTAATATTGATTTTAATATCAATTAGCTCTAAAAGTTGAGGGGCCGCATGTTTGGCACGGCTGGTCTAAGGCATGCACTGTCTTCGTTCGCTCGGAAGCCGGGATCGTGGGTTCGGATCTGTTTCCTGTGAGGTACGAACTGAATTCTTATATATTATTCTTATACACTGCCGGTCACGGTAGCCGAGCGGTCTAAGGCATGAACTGTCTTCGCTCGCTCGGAAGCCGGGATCGTGGGTTCGAATCCCACAGAAGGCATGTATGTTTGTTGTGTATGCGTTTATTCTGTGTTTGTGTTGTCCTGTGTTTAGGTAGAGGCCTTGCGACGAGCTGATCACCCGTCCAAGGAGTCCTACCGTCTGTAAAATGATCATGAAACTGAGAAATCAGCCCTATGCTGCAAAGTGGGGACGAGAGAAAAAGAATTATTATTGGTCCAGTTTTTAATTGAATTTGAACTCTGCGATTTTTCGAAGGATTTATTGCGTATGAGGACTCTTCCGGGTTGTATCACCGTGTAACTCAGAGTGTGCGACGTTTCGGAGGAACAAATTTCCTCTATCTTCAGGATCGAATAGTAACAAGCAGCAAACCATCAGAATCAGGGTGCAAGTTAAATTGGTTTCTTGCTTGCCTTATTCTTCGACCCTGAAAATGGAGCCTATCATTTCCTCCAAAAGTCAGGCTAGCTCCGATTTACCCGGAAGACCATAGGCGCTGCCCTGAGTATCTTTTTACGTCCGTACACGCATGCGGACGTTTTTGAGTTCGTCAGAAACGTCGGAACTGCCACTGAAAGACAATATTGCTGTTGTAGGTGAGTGGCCTGAGGTTCGAGACGCAGCTTCGGACGCTGAACCAGTTCCCGGACACGCTGCTCGGCGACCCCACCCGGAGGATCCGGTACTTTGACCCACTCAGGAATGAGTACTTCTTCGACAGGAACCGTCCCAGCTTCGACGCCATCCTGTATTACTACCAAAGTGGCGGGAGGTTGAGACGGCCTGTCAACGTGCCTCTGGACGTCTTCTCGGAGGAAATCAAGTTCTACGAGTTGGGGGAGTACGCCATCAACAAGTTCAGGTGCGCCCTCGGGAGACGGCAGTCGCACTGCCACGGCTGACAGAACCTGTTTGCAAGGGGAAACTGTACTCACTCGCGTCGCTTCTCTGCAAGGCTCTGAGCAGTGAAAAATTTTCCTTCACATATGGCTAATACAAAAACAAATAAACAAACTCCTTGGCCTGTAGTCCGCAAGCGATCTATACCGACCGCCTCTGTGGTCAGAGTTCCTGAGCTTGATTCCCGCCGATACCATATTTTCTGAGAAGTAGTGAGTCTAGAACGGGGACCACTCAGTCTCGTGAGGATAATTGAGGAGGTATTCCAAGGAAATAGTGGCTCCGGTCTAGAAAACTGAGATTAACGGCCGTGGGGATGCGTTGCGCTCACCATGTGACACCCTCTATCCGCAAAAGTTGGCACTAACTTCGCCGACAAAGGGCGGTCGCTCGGTCGATATGGTTATTGGCTAATTAGAGAACACACACAGATACTGCTCAGACTTACTCCGCATTCTCTGAGAGCCGGGATAGCTCAGTCGGTATAGTAAATACGCTACGGGCTGGACGACCAAGAAATCTAGGTTCTATTTCCGGAAGGGGCAAGAGTTTCTCTCCTCACCATAATGGCTAGATCGTCTCTGCAGCACGTATGGGTAACGGGGAGATTCCAGGGTAAAGCGGTCGGGGCGTGAAGCTGATCACTCACCTCCATAAAATGCCGAGATGAAGAATAGTTGAGCTATACCTCGACTCCCCCATACGTCTTCATGGCATGTTGCTTGATTGAGCCCAGGGATAGCTTTACCTCTTTAGCCCGTACTCCGGTCACTATGCGAGGTAGCCGTCACACCAAGGTGTAAGCATGGCGACAGAGTGTCTGGACGAGGCTGCAACCTCCAATCTCTTCTTTATATAACTCTACGAGTAAATTTCATAATTTCAGTAAAAAAAAAGTAAAGCTAGCTATCCCTGTAACAGGCCGTGGAGGCCCACAGGGTTGTGAGACGTCGAGGCTGCCACATTTTCTAGACAATCAGCTCACAGATGGTGGTGAGGTTCAGTAAAGCTATCCCTGTAACAGGCCGTGAAGGCCCACAGGGTTGTGAGACGTCGAGGCTCCCACATTTTCTAGACAATCGGCTCACAGATGGCTGTGAGATTGTCAGCCTTACGCTCCGGCCGCCCTTTACCCCCAGGGAAATTCCTGGTACTCATTTCTGTTAGATGTGAGTCGACCCCGGGGCCACAATGCTGAGGGATTAGGCAAATTGAAAAATCCAATGACCTAATCAGGAATCGACCCCGCGACCTTCCGGCTTGTAGCATTGTGCCTCAACCATGCTACAGCTCGATCCGATTAATTTCATGCTTAAGTTTTAGCCTCCATGTATTATGATGATCTTGACACGGCAAGCAAATTTATACTGTGAATGTAATTTTCCTCTTTCCTACTGCAGACTTTCCCGGAGGATTCGTTACCCAGGCAACTGATTGAAAATCATAATAATTCGCTCTCATACGTAGCGATGTAACCATCTGATGAGGATCCGTGCTGGTGTTCGAAGCATGTTCTTTCACACGGAATCCACAAAAGAGTGACAACATGTGTTTTGTATTGCGTGACAGATAGGGCGTGATGTACGAATACGAGATCTTATTTCAAAGTTCGACGGTTTCCTTCGGTTTCTGGAACTCAACTCGACATTTTGCATGGAAATCAAAATTGAAACTCGTTTATTTATCGAAAGGCCTGTGGGGGTCACCCTCCTCACAGCTGTCCCTTTAATTACGCTCCTTACTACTTGCTTCATGCTGCTTGGCATACTGTTCGGCCCTGAAGATGGAAACAGTACGTCCGTCCGAAACGTCGGTGAGCTTTTATCGTACTACATAGTGTCATATCCCATACGATAGTACTGTTCATTGCGACCGCTACGACAACCGGAAGTCTGGTAGAAGTACCCGTTCTTCGTCCGGGACATGGTTGCTTTACGTGTTGCTATCACAATGCAGAGCAGCTGAACACTCTAATCAAGAGATTATAATTTATGTTATATTTTAGCGTCCTGTTGCACTGATTCAAGTCCATGATTTATTTAATCCGTCTTGCAGTGCATACACTCATTCATCTCCTTCTCTCCCTCGCACTACATGTTTCGGCATAATAATGCCATCTTCAGGTGCTTACTTATCCACGTCAAACCAGTTCATTGCATGCCATGTTCACACATTAAAATAACTAAAATATGTATCTATCATATACATTGTCAAACGTTAAAAATATTAAAATTGTTCAGGATACCACATCGCTACGTCGCCCCTCACTACGTCAGTCACGCCCATTCTCCTTTGTTGGAGCACTCCTTCACTATCTTGTGTGTTGTGCTTTTGTTGTGTCGTGCTCCTGCGACTGCGTGTGTTATACTGTTGGGCTTCCTGGGTATGTGTGTGATTATAATTTGGTCACGTCACTGAAACAAAAAGATTTGGAATGAGGATTCAAATCGCATCCCGAACCTACTGTAGTACGTGGGTGCCGTACTTACTGGTAAGAATATGGAACATTATTATCTTTGGATGTTCTGTGTCCGCGGTGGGAAACAGAAAACGTGGGTTCGAATACCTCCACCGCAGCCCTGCGTGTCGCAGAAGGCGACGAAAAGTGGACCCTGTGCCTGGGGGTATAACTGGGCCAGCTTTTCACTGGGGGACATAAATACAGGGACCTGCTCCTCCTGGTTAGGCTGGGGCTACACAAGCGCACAAAATGCGTCCGTTGTAACGAACATCGTGACGTCCGCTGTAGAAATAAACAAAAGAGGCGAATGCTACACTTTTTTCTGGCTCCATTGCAGACAAGAAACTACGCACCGCATTCTGCAACTGTGTGGTGTCCTCAGCAACGTCCGTCATAGAGTACGTTTCTTACAACGGACGCATTTTGTGCGCTCGTGTGGCCCCAGCAGGGGAAGAGTCTGAAGGCTCCCGGAGCCGTCAGATATGGTCGTGAGTTCCGTGGAATTTGGAACCGACAATCACTGCTGGCGACGCCCAGCAGTTAGGGGGCTCATACACGTACGAGCCTGGTTCGCGAGTTCGACTCGGCTCGAGTTCCAATGAGCCAAATTCGTCCGTGTATGGGTCGCCACGCTCGTACCTGTGTGGTGAAATTAATCCGAGCCGGACTCGCGAGCCAGACTCGTACGTGTATGAGCCACCTTAGGGACCGAGTTACCTACGTTACAACAAACGTAGCGCTTACACAGAAAGACCGACCCCTCCTCTCGCCAAAGAGGAGGCCCCATTTCTTAACACGTACATGTCCAGGAGTTAACGAAGATCTTGGTCTTGGATCTTGACGAGACTCGAAGCCAAGAATGACCGTGTTGGCGAGGGCCAGCAGCAATTTAACCGACCGATATAAATATAACAGATATGGCTGAAACATGTTTCAGACTTCCTCATGTAATGCCCTTTGCTTGTAAGAACTAATATTCATTGGCTGTTATAAGAAATGTTAAGTCCTTGGAGGACCTTTGCCTTTGTGGTGGGCAACCTGGCATTCAGGAGGAATGCTAGGACCCATCTGACAGTGGATCAGTGTTGTGAAGTATGGGTGGGTGGCCTGTCGTGCGCGCTGCCTGGTGTCCAGGAAGTGAAATGCTGCAGACGCTTCCCGACCGTATTGATCCACGCAATCCATGCAACACCCTTCTCCCTCCCACTTACCCCATCGTCTATCTCAGGGAAATTACAGCATGGAGATCAGGAACAGATAACATCACCAGCAAAATAACGCCAACCAATAGGTTTTCAATACCAGCTACATCCACAGGAGATTTCTGCCCTTGCGCAACCCATCCTGCACTGCGGAGTGATGTCGCAGCCTCACGTCTGCCTTTACTTGAATGATGCAGGAAGTATCTGCAGGTCCATTAAGAAAAACTTAATCTGTACGCTGGAGCAATGCATTATGGGAGCGGACAGTCGGAAGCAGAGCAAGGTCGGAAAGTTTTATGGCCGTGACAAAGTTTAGCTCCAAAACAATCTATGCAGGCGCGGTGAACTCAAATGGCATACAGTACGGTAACCATTTGAAGAACAGTGGTAATTATACATATATCTCCTGCTTTAACATAAAACAGGGCGTGTATTTTCCCCACACCGCGTATTTATGAGTTTCGTACGATTTTCAACCATGAATTCCCTAAACTGCATTAACCGTTTGGTCCTTGTAATGGCGACGAAGTTCGTTTCCTGTGAGGTACGAACTGAATTTATATAGTAGCGTTACCCCGTGTGGAGGCGGGGTCGTAGGAGGCGACGAAAAGTGTGAAGTCTCAAATCTGAGACAGTAAAATGTGGTCGCAAGTCCCAAAGGACTCAGACCCGCGAAAGGCTGGCAAGGGCCAGCAGCATATAAAAAGGACAGACCCGTCCTCTCGTCAGAGAGGGCGCCCCACGGAAGCAAGACCGTAACTGTCAAACGGTAATAATTAATATCTGATCATGATATTAATTATTACCGTTTGACAGTTACGGTCGTGTTTCTGTGGGGTGCTCTCTCTGACGAGAGAACGGGTCTGTCTGGGGCTTGACACCAAGGCTCGCTGACACTGACTGACTGACTGACTGACTGACTGACCGACCGTCAGTCGCAATGTGACTTTGACTTTGACTTGATATAGAGAAACCTGCACTATAATTTAATGAACTCTTAGAAGTTTGTGATGGGGGTATACTGATAAAATTATTGTGTTTTGGGCTTTACCTATCGTTCTGTTTTTTATTTAAAAATGAACGTTTCGGAGACGATTCTGTCTCCGTCTTCAGGTAAAAATCTACTCATTTGGGCCCAACCAGTAGATGCAATAGATCTATCGATTGGGCCCAACTGAGTAGGTTTTACCTGAGACTGGGCAGAATCCAGTCTCCGAAACACTGTGTTTTAAATAAAAAAACAAGACAACAGATAATGTCCAAAAACGCAGTAATTGAATTTCATGAACTGTTTCTGTAGTGCATGGCGGTTACATGCATTTCCTGTCAAATTTCATCAGAGGCAATCATTTTTTTTCCCTTACTTCCCTACATCTCTTTCACATTTTTATCTCTTATCCTTTATTTCTACGACATTTCTTTTTCATTCCTTATCCGTCCTATTATCATCCCCTTCCTCTTTCTTTCTTCCCTCTCCATCGCAATAAAACAGCCCCCTCGCCCCCGTTCTTCCATACCTTTATCAATTTTGTACCTTCATCAACTTCCGTCTCTTCTCCCATTTATATGTTCTCTTCCCCCCCCCCCACGTACTCGAAGCAACAGCAGGATATAAGCTTACACCTCCTTCCCTCGTATCCTAGCAACGATCCGGTTGTTGTAATGATCTCGGGGCCTTTTTACAGAGGAAGTAATGTAGAGATAAATTAGCTTGGACCCGAACCTATGCATGTATCAGCAAAATTAACAATTTCCCCTCTGATTTCTCGCCGAGCGAAGCTTCTTTAATATTTACCAATTTTCTTTCAACTACGTCCCGTGTACTTGGTTGAGGCACCATGTTACAAGCCGGAAGGTCGCGGGTTTAATTCCCAATTAGGTCATTGAATTTCTCAGTTGACCTAAACCTTCCAGCCGCACTATGGCCCTGGGGTCGACTCAGCCACTGACAGAAATGAGTACCAGGAATCTTCCTGGGGGTAAAGCGCGGCCAGCGCGTAAGGCTGACAACGTCGCCGCCATCTATGAGCCAATTGTCTAGAAAATGTTGGAACCTCGACGTCTCACAACCCTATGGGCCTTCACGGCCTGGTACAGGGATAGCTTTACATTTCTTTTATGATGCTCAGTTTGGGAAAAGCAGGACGGGGCAGACAGACAGACGGACCGACGGATGGACAGAAGACGCGATTGGTGATTTATATTTATTTATAAACTTCGGGCTTCGTTCAGTGATCTGGTTAGCGTAGCGCTAAAGCTGTAGACTCATATTCGGGAGGTATTCTGTTCGAGTCCCGCCCGCGATGCCGGATGTCGTGATTGAGACTTCTCATTGTTTTCCTCAGACCCTTCTAGCCGAGATAATACTTCGATTAAGCCGCAACCGTTTCCTTCCAAATGCTCCCAACATTAGACGCCATATAGTGCAGCTACCGACCTCACCCTGCACTAACGCACAGATGTATTGAGTTGCTATTAGTCACGCTTCTAGTCACGAGTGCGTGTGGAAACCTGACGCCCAGATACAGCCGTGTGAGGACGCCATTGATTGAAACTCTGCTCCCGTGCGTAAGAAACGGCAGGATGTGCTTTTACAAAGAAGTGAGGAGAAACCATGTAATTAACTCCATGGAGCTGAGTCCTTCTTGAGGAGCCACCAATTCTGCAGCTACTCAAGAACTCCACAGCGTTTTATTGAACCCGAAAGTTCATTACCGTGTTCACAAGAGCCCTCTACTGGTCCCTATCCTGAGCCAGATCAGTCCAGTCCATACCACCCCATCCTGTCTCCCAGAGATCCATTTTAATATTATCCACCCACCTACATCTTGGTTTTCCAAGTTGTCTCTTTCCTTAGGACTTTCCCACCAATATACTATATGCATTCTTCTCCCATTCGCGCTGCGTGCCCTGTGCATCTCATCCTCCTTGATTCATTATGCAGTATGCAGGTGTAGAGTAGCCAAAAAGACGAGATTAACGGCCGTGGGGATCAGTTGCGCTGACCACATGACACCCTCTATCCACAAAAGTTAGTACTAACTTCGCCGACAAGCGGCGGTCGCTCGGTCAGTATAGTTCGCTTGCGGACTGAAATCACGGAGTTTTTTTTTGACAGTTTCTCTTGAGAAATTTAACCTAAACATGAAACAGGATTGCACCCACTTGACAGTTTCTCTTGAGGAATTTAAACAGGATTGCACCCACTTGACAGTTTCTCTTGAGGAATTTGCACAGGGTTGCACCCACTTGACAGTTTCTCTTGAGGAATTTTAAACAGGATTGCACCCACTTGACAGTTTCTCTTGAGGAATTCAAACAGGATTGCGCCCATTTGACAGTTTCTCTTGAGGAATTTAAACAGGATTGCACCCATTTGACAGTTTCTCTTGAGGAATGTAAACAGGATTGCACCCACTTGACAGTTTGAGGAATTTAAACAGGATTGCACCCACTTGACAGTTTGAGGAATTTAAACAGGATTGCACCCACTTGACAGTTTCTCTTGAAGAATTCCATTGTGTTGTGTTCCTCAGGGAGGACGAGGGCTTCATCAAGGAAGAGGAGAAGCCGCTGCCCTCGAACGAGCGACAACGGAAGGTGTGGCTGCTGTTCGAGTACCCGGAGAGTTCGCAGGCGGCGCGCGTAGTGGCCATCATTTCAGTGTTCGTCATTCTGCTGTCCATCGTTATCTTCTGCCTGGAGACGCTGCCCGAGTTCAAGCACTACAAGGTGTTCAACACCACACTGAACGGCACCAAGATCGAGGAGGACGAGGTTCCTGACGTCACAGACCCCTTCTTCCTCATAGAAACCATCTGCATCATCTGGTTCACGTTTGAACTGTCAGTGAGGTTCCTTGCTTGTCCGAACAAACTGAACTTCTTTCGGGACGTGATGAACATTATAGATATCATCGCGATCATTCCGTATTTCATCACGCTGGCAACAGTGGTGGCCGAGGAAGAGACCAGTGGCAACATAGTGCGTGCTCCTGTCAGCCCGCAGGACAAGAGCACAAACCAGGCCATGTCTCTGGCAATTCTAAGAGTGATTAGGTTAGTGCGCGTATTCCGAATATTTAAGTTATCCCGACACTCCAAGGGGCTGCAAATCCTCGGGCGAACTTTGAAGGCCTCCATGCGGGAACTTGGATTGCTCATTTTCTTCTTGTTTATAGGTAAGTACGGGTGCCGGCAGGGCCACAGGTCTTCCTTCATCTGGCGCTTCCTCTTACTAGTTTCATAATGTTTATCTTTACGTGGTGACAGCGAAGAGAAGTCCTATCGACCCACAAATGTTTAGTTCAGCTTTTCTCAAAACGGTTCTGTGTAGAAGAAAGGAATTATTTCGATTCTAGTCTGCATGGCAAAGTGCTTATCAATGTTCCTCATGCCTCGCGGTGGTTTATATGCAAGGAATGCAATTGAAAGTGTTTACCAATAATGTTTATAGTAAGTGGATAATTTTTGTGAGTAGCTGTTACATGATTCAAGATGAGTGTAGATACAGCTCTGTTGCCAAGTGTAGTGTGAAGCCTGAGGATGGTACGTGTGTGCTCCAGGTGGCCCCAGCATCAAGCATGGCTTTAGCCCGTGCACAGCCACAAGGGGATTTCAGTATGTTTATAAACATACAGGTACAGGGGGCGTAGTTCCGAAAAATCTGGAACAGCCCGGAATATTGTTTGAGTTTCTGTTCAAACAGCGTTAGGAATATGGCAGGTAAGGTCACTCAATCTCCTAAGTACTTCAGGACTAATGGATTTCTGGACGTCCATCTCCTAGTATCCTGAACGGAGCACAGGTTTCAGAAACTGGATCTGCTTTGATCTTCAATTGAAAACGTTAGGAGGCGCCTAATCATTTTGGTCTATTAGAAATACCGTAATATCAGTCACTAAATTGGATGGCCTTCTCACCTGAGGACAGAAAAGTATCCAAATTCTGAAGCGTTGTCTTATGTTCGAAATATTAGTTGATGTACAAAGTCCAGAAACCCAGTTATGCCAAGTATAACATACCATAGTCAGAACCGTTTAGAATTGATAAATGTTTTTTCACAGTGTCTGAACTAATTCTGCAGTCAATATACCAGTACAACAGCTCCGGTAGCTGTAACATGTTGATGTTCTGCTTAAGTTACATGATATAATTATCTAAATATAACCCAAATCTAAAGCCTTTGTAACACAATTAGTGTAGCATACGTGAAATAGCCGTAAGATAATTCTATTGGAGGATCCTTCACATTGCTTATCTTTCAGTACCTCACCCCACTGGTAACTTCGATAACTTTGGAGCACTTAGAATATCAAACCAATCCTCAACATGCCGAAATGCTTATGCACGGCCTCGAAGTCAAATCACAGACTACTTTGCTCATGATCATGTGTGTTTTTTTTTTAAGTTTCTGATGCTGTGTTGGGACTCAGTAAAACGTGACAAGTTCTGCTCTCATTATGGTGTATTCTTGATGAATATCAGTTTATTCTGCTCTCATTATGTTGTATTCTTGATGAAGAGCAGTTTATTCTGCTTTCGTTATGTTATGTTATTCTTGATGAAGAGCAGTTTATTCTGCGCTCATTTTTACATTCTTGATGACGAGCAGTTTATTCTGCTCTCATTATGTTATATTCTTGATGAAGAGCAGTTTATTCTGCTCTCGTTATGTTACATTCTTGATGAAGAGCAGTTTATTCTGCTCTCATTCTGTTATATTCTTGATGAAGAGCAGTTTATTTACTTGATGGCAATGTGTATGAACATAAAAGGCCAAGCATTTATTTGTGTAAAGTAGCACGAATGTTTTTGTTATATCAAAAATTGCTGAAAATATGGAAATGAAACATGAATCACAAAGGATGAAAGTCATTTGCTGTGGATAGAGCAACAAGAGTCTCTGTGGATATGAAGTTGTCAGCTGCTTAGAAAACTAATGCATCAAATTTGATACCTTGTATGTTACAGGATGAACAAATTGTGTGGTCATTACAATACAGGGGTTTCAAGAAATATGGGTAAATCTGTAAATCTGGAGCAGATGGAGACAAATCACAAAATCCTGCTTAGGATTACACGGTTTCTGGGCTTCGTCTCTCATTTGCTATTCCAAAGAGAACAGAGTGTTATACGTATGTGAATAGGGAGACACCTACTGGGTTTGGTCCATTAGATAGACCTGATCTTAATTACTGGACCAATGGGCCATTGTTGAAAGTGTCTCAGTCACTGACTCTTAGTAGAAGACAGTCTCAGTGACTGGTCCAGTCACTGAGACTGTTTCCCTCTGATGGATGGAGCTGATGATGACAACAGATCAGTTCTTGACATGTGTTCCGTTTGGATGACTAAACAGTGGATAGAGTGCAGAAACCTACTGTGAGTACTAGTATGAGAGACCATTGTCAGTACTCTTTACGAAGAATCCTGCTCTTTTCATTGACAGATAATTCTTTAAATTCTCATGTCTTCTATCAGTTGTCTCTTCTCCAGTAATACTAAGTAAATGACTTGGGCCGCGCCATAGCTCAAGCGGTTAGTCGCTGGCTTCCCACCGCGGCGGCCCGGGTTTTGTCCCGGGTCTGGTCAAGTGGGACTTGTGGTGGACAAAGTGGCGCTGGGGCAGGTTTTCTCCGAGTACGTCGGTTCCCCTGCCAATCTTCATTCCACCAATTGCTCCACAATCACCCTCACCTATCATCTGAGGCTGGTACAATAGGCCAGAAGTGGCCGCAGTACAAGGGACTTAGTCCCACCCCACTAGCAATAAAAAAAATAATCTGAAAGAAAGAGATCGTGGTTTACTCGAGGAACTATCCAAGTATTTGCCTGAAGGGGCTGAGAAAAGCCACTAAGAACCTCAGTCAGGGCAGGTGGTGTCGAACACAGCACCTTTTGACTATAAGCCCGGATTGCTGGCGTTATACCAACATACTCGCCGAGATACCATGTCACAATGTGCGAGGCCGAGTATGAATTATTTCTGGAACAATGGTTAGACAACTTTCTCTGGTCGCTCTCTCCGTCAGTGGCAGAACTTATTTTTGGTTTACTTCATGATGCTGTCAGTAGCGCAGACAAAATGGCGATTCGCGATTAATGAATTGTAAAAGATGTGGACGGAAGTTGTTGTGGCTTAATATGACGCATTTTCACTGCATCTGGCTGGAGGGGCGGGGTGGTGTTAGGAAACGATAAAGAATCTTAGGCCATCCATCGACTCAACTATCACCTGACGATCAGTGAAGGTTGAAATGTGCTCGATCATAAACTGTCTGCATGAAGTTATACTTACATATGATATATACCGACCGACCGAGCGACCGCCGCTTGTCGGCGAAATTAGTGCCAACTTTAGCGGGTAGAGGGTGTTGCGTGGTCAGCCAAACGAATCCCCACGGCCGTTAATCTCGGTTCTCTAGACCGGAGCCGCTATTTACTTGAAACAGCTCCTCAGTTATCCTCACGAGGCTGAGTTGACCCCATTCCAGACCCACTACTTCACAGAAAATCTGGTAGCGCCGGGACTCAAAACCGGGATCTCTGGATCTGTAGCCAGGAACTCTGGCCACTAGACCACAGAGACGGTCGGTATAGTTCGCTTGCGGACTCAAGTCGTGGAGTTTAGTTTTTATGATACATACATCGCGAAAGAAAACTAAAAAAACTGGAGGTGCACATATTAAGCATTCTGATATATTGGGTTTCTGGACTTTATCCATCGTCCTGGTTTTTAAGATAACAAATAAAAACACGACGTTTCGGAAACTGGATCTGTTTCCGTCCTCAGGTGAAGGAAAAGGGAAACACCTATTCTGTTGGGTCCGTTAGAAAGAGCTAGTCTCAATCACTGGACCCAACAGAATAGGTGTTTCCCTTTTCCTTCACCTGAGGACGGAAACAGATCCAGTTTCCGAAACGTCGTGTTTTTATTTGTTATCTTAAAAACCAGGACGATGGATAAAGTCCAGAAACCCAATATATCAGTGTGTTATACACCATCGTCAGAATCCTATAGTAACTACTTATATTAAGCATTCGCTTGTACAATAACTCAGTATGTTTGGAAACTCGGGGCTCTATGTCCCATTCCGCCCCTGTGTTTACTGTCTACCTGGTATGACAGGGTCCACGCACATTCTGACACCATAGGGGCAATGACCCATTAAGAAATGAGCTGCCAATGAGTCTGTGTGACCAGCCCCACACTGGACTATGCCAATATCACACCACATTCAACTGATGATTCTGTCTGCCAAGTAATTGACCTTTCTTTTATTGCTAGTACTGCGGCCACTTATGGCCTATTGTACCAGCCCCAGATGATAGGTGAGGGTGATTGTGAAGCAATTGGTGGAATGAAGATTGGCAGGGGAAACCGAAGTACTGAGAGAAAAACTGCCTCAGCGCCACTTTGTCCACCACAAATCCCACTTGACCAGACTGGGGATCGAACCCGGGCGGCCGCGGTGGGAAGCCAGTGACTAACCGCTTGAGCAATGACGTGACCTTCAGAGTCTTTGCAATTCATGACCTTACCATTCAACACTGTATAGTCTGGGTGCTGACAGAATTGTAAAATAAACTGAAGCCCATCACAATACTATGTAAGATTTGAGGTTTTCACGGCGGTGGCTATGAAGAAAGCAGTCTTCTGGCATGTGGCGTCGTGTAGATGTTGTGTTAACCGACGTTTCCACCTCCACAGACCCTTCCCCCTCCCCTCTACTGATTTCCCCTGTAGCCCCTCTCCCTTCCTTTCCTGTTCTTACACAGCTGGGTTTATTCGACTCGACGTTAGTCTGTCAGCACCTCCCCACGCTGGTTCGCTCTCAGAAGATGGAGGCGAAACGTCGGTTAACAATATCTACACAGCGCCACATCCCAGAAGACTGCTTTCTTCATCACATCACTGTTCTTGAACGTAGTGCCCGGACAAAGACGGTCCGAATCCAAATTAGGAGCGTCTGAGGCCCACCCGAAACTATGGCTTTCAAGCGAAGCATTCATAGTTGAAAGCATGCAACTGTCTTTACACACTCCTCGACCAAAACCGAAGGTAAAAGATTTACTTACGGACATAGCTGATTTTCGGATCTCTAATTTTAATGTCAAAACTATTTTTGGAACTTGACGTTCATGCCGAATTCGCCCTTAACATGCGGTTTGGAGATCACTAGCCAATCCAAATCGTTTTGTAGACATTGGTGACGTAAGAGTGAGGCTCCTGGCCGGATGCCAGTGCAGCACACGCGTTGCCATGACAACTGGGGATGTCGTGATGTAGCTTAGCACAAACCTGGGTTCTGCTGACCCGTGGCTGCTAGGAGTCTGGCATCGTGTAAGAGTGGTGTATATTTCATTGTCGGTACTTGAAGCATAAGAGCTCGAGCTGTGTGTCCAGCGATCGAATCTCTATACCGACGTGACACCTAGAAATAACATGAAACAGAATTAAATTCCCGCTCAGCGGTAAGGCCTCTGATTTGTATTCAGTAGGTATTGAATTCGAATCTCAGCTGGGACACCGATTATTCTGAGGTGTCTAGCGATTTTGCTCGGTCCGTCCAGACAAATGCTGCAATAGTGTCTCGAGCATGCCTCAGCTGGGGCTCGCGAGCCGCATGCTGCCCTTTTGAACTCTTACTGGGGCTGAAAGCTGCCGTCATATCCACTTCTGTCTGCAGCTCTCGAACTGCTGAACGTTATCATATGCAGCTCCGAAGTTTATTAAGTTCAGCTACCCCTGATACAGAGATCAGCCACTGACAGCGTCTTGAATCTTTTGGATTTAACATTCTCACAGTCGATGCTGTGAGGTCCTCAACGCAATGTAATTAAGAGAAAACATAATGTTTCACAGCAACATGTCGCCTCTATCTTCAGTTTCGAAGAGTAAGCCAAACAGGAATCTAGCAGACGTAGGCAACAAGCTGAGCTCATCTTACTTTTGAACCCTGAAGATGGAGGCGATATGTTTCTCCGAACCACACAGTGATACAACCCAAAACACCGTAAGAGGAAAGGTATCCCTGTAACAGGCCGTGGAGGCCCATAGGGTTGTGAGACGTTGAGGCTCCTACATTTTCTAGACAATCGGCTCACAGATGGCAGTAAGAGTGTCAGCTTCACGTACCGGTCGCCCTTTACCCTCCCAGGAACAACCACAGAACGACATCAATGAACCTTCTTAAGAAAGACAGGCGGCACAAGTTCGGCCCCCATCAAGAGAGGTGATAAGAGAGGAGACACGAACCTATTTGGTTTATAAATTCTAACTTAACTAACAAAATTAAAAAAAGAAAGTAATATATCACGACAGCCGCTGTAGTTGTGAAAACTTTGGATTTTGTATCCATTTGTGTATTGTCAGCATATATATATACAGTAAAACTTGGTTATAGCAACATCGGTTTCTGCGACACCTTGTCTATTGCGTCAAATATTCAATGGTACGAACTAATTCCTCATAAAGCTACTGTTTTTATACCTTGCTTAGTACGACATGCACAAATGCATCAACCTCGTATGTAACGTCATTTTCATTCCTGAATTTCTCTGATATGGACATTGAACGTAATTTAGAAAGTGTGTACTGGGCAAGTAACAGGAAACAGATGAAGATAACTGATTACTGTACTCGTATCTAGGTACAGTAGGGCACAACAATTGATGTAATCTACTGTAATTTGGTGAGTAGGCCTACCTTTAATATACAGTATTAGTGCGGTGTGTATTGTCAGTGAAAAGCGCTGTAATATGTCTTTGATATTACACATTTGGGCAATTCCACGTTAATGTTACGTTAGTCTGTACTTAACTACGTATTTCACTAAAAAATGCAACATTTTAACTCGGTTTTTGGTAGATTTTTACGTGACTAACATAAGGCTACTGTGGAAGTGCCCATTTCGGTTATAACGACATTCGTTTATAACGACACTATTTCTAGGTCCCTTTGATGACGTTATAACCAAGTTCTACTGTATATATATATATATATTTTTTAACACGCAGAACACATATTGTAACAGTGGTTTCCAAATTGTATCGATGTCCCTCTGATGATGGTTTCTAAGGACCGAACCGACACATGTAAGGGCACGAAGAATTGAAATAAGAAAAATCTTCGCCAGTCACACTGAACGGAACTGTTTTATCTTTTTATAATTACTTTTATGTATTATTCACTTTTGATTTATCATTAAATTTATAGTTTTAGATATTTCTTATGAATTCGCTCTATACATCAGTTGATTCGACATTCTGTATATGGACTGCCCGACGGTCACAGGTTCAGAAGCAGACCAAAAACTTCTCGCATCCACAATCCAATCACAAAATTTGGCACTAAAAACAATAACAAATGTGGGGCCCAAAAATCTCTTATATAAATACGTATTTTTCTTTAAAATAACCGAACTTGACGACAAAGAGACAGATCTACCTACCGGCATAATTAGTACTGCATACAGTCTGCATGTGCTGCGATCTATCGGCACACTACCTTAATCTTACGTAGCACCATAAAGTAAGGTTAAGCTCTCCCGGTGGTTAATCAATTAAGCATTATGCCATGAAGATATGTGGGGGCTGGGAGTGGAGGTACAGGTTCACCATTCTTGACATCGACACTAGATGGAGATGAATGATGAATTTCACGCTCCGGCCACTTTACCCCCCCAGGGAAAGAGCCCCCGATACCTACTGGATAGGAAGCTGGGTGGACCCCAGAATCAGTCCGGACGCTGTGAAGGACAGAAAAATCTTGCACCTACCGGGACTCGAATCCCGATCGTCCAGCCCCTCACAACGTAACGATTGTGTTGTGTAGATAAATAATTGATACCCCTCCCCAAAAAAAATAGTTCACGATTTTGATTCTGTTTTCTGTAGGTTTGAGTGTGACAGGGAAAAGGGAAATTCTTTGTGTTGCTGCCTAACTGTCTCGGCCAGCCCGCTGCTCTCCTGTTGCAGGTGTAATTCTCTTCTCGAGTGCCGTTTACTTCGCGGAAGCCGGCTCCGAGCTGTCCTTCTTCAAGTCCATCCCGGATGCTTTCTGGTGGGCCGTAGTTACCATGACTACGGTGGGCTATGGTGACATGAGGTAACGTGTGTGTCAGCCTTCATGTACTCCCTTATCTTGCAGGTGTGGTTCTGTTCTCGAGCGCTGTTTACTTCGCGGAAGCCGGTTCCGAGAATTCCTTCTTCAAGTCGATTCCAGACGCTTTCTGGTGGGCTGTTGTAACGATGACAACCGTTGGCTATGGTGACATGACGTATGAAGTACTCAATTTCATAACCGGTTTAGTTCGTACATTACGTTTCTTGGTTTGGTTTTTTCTTGGGTTTTTTTTTAAATATGTTTTTCTTACATTCCCACCTCCCACGTAGCTTGCAATGCCATTGTTACTATTCTCAGCCCCCCCCCCTCAAATATATTTCAGTTTTATTTATTTTTATTTTATTAAAACAGATTCAGTAGAAAGAGAGAAATAAAAACATAGAGAAACAAGAGGTACGAAGAAAATTCTTTGTTGGCAATAACGTAAACGGAAGCAACATGCAGAGATAGAAAGTTTGAAGGGCTCATTTATGACACGTTAATTTTAAATTTCCGTGGTGGCGTCGTTCTGGACGGCGTCCGTGGGTATCCCCCTTACTCTTAGGAAGGACAGAAGGACAGAAGGTTGGAGGAGAGACGAGCTGCAGGAAGGTGCCGTGGAGATGCAGCCAGTGTCGGGACGCTGTTGTTACTTATGGTCTTATAGAGTAACATTGTTACCAACATTTCGCCTGTCTTCTCCCGCCGCCCCTATCTGCCAAAAAAATTCCCTGCACCAACCCCGCACCCTCACTAGTAGCCCAGAAGCAGATGTTGTAACAATTCCATGTTGTCTCTTCAGCATTCTCTGTCTTCTCTCTCTCTGTCTCTCTCTTATCATTCTGCGTGTTGCCCACCCCCCCTACTTCAGTGTACGCAGCCTCGAACCGGTGCCATGTTATGCCTGTATATACTGACGTCCATGTACCAAAATTACATTATATCGATGGATACAGATGAAACAAAGAATTTTCTAAGTGGAATGTATTGGAAAATGGAGGGGGAAAAGAATCTTATTCATTTATTTTCAATTCATGTTGAAAAGAAATGAATAAGGCTCACTTTTGTGCACAGCTGTAGACCCTTGCTGCATGATTAATATCTCACAGCTCCCAATCAACTTGTATGCGTGTCCCTGAGCGCGGGTGTGTACGAATGTGCATTATGGTAATGGTGTTCGGTGTAGCGAGGCAGTGGTGTTGGCTGCTCTGAAAATGCATGGTTGTTTGTTTGTTTTTTTCTTTTTAAGTTTCCACTTCCTTCTGTTTTTTGGTTTGTTTGATTAGCTTTTAGAGACGCTGAGGAAGTTGGATGCTGTTTGTGTGTGGGTTTGAGTGTGGGTTCCGTTGGCTCGATTTGCAGACAACTCAGTAACATGGAATGATTGCGTTTGTGACATTTTGATTTGGGTCTCACACTCATATTGTGACTGCTTTTGTTGGACCTCATTGCTGCCTGAAAGGAGTCTTTCTGTCCCTGCATTGTCTCATGGATGTTCTTCCTCTTTCCGGTGTCTGTGTGCTTCCCCGCTGTTTTCGATGTGCCTCAGTACCGATGTCTGTGCCTTCCCCCAACCTCTCCCGCTGGTCCACCCCTTGGTGTACCTTAAGTATGGACCCCAGCGTGTTTGGTTCCCACGTGACGCGGATGCGTTTGAAAATTTACCGTCTACTGCGTCGTGACGCCGCGCTAAACTACGTAGCGTCTGTTTATAGGATGATTGATGAATTGGAAAATATCTGGAAGGAAACGGCCGTCGCTTAATCAACGTACCATCTCGGTATTTACCTTCAGAAGTTGAAGAAAACCAGTAAAGGCCTTAGTCAGAGCGGCAGGTGTCCAGAGCACGTCTAGAATATGAGTCTGCTGCTACTCCAGCCTCTCGGTGGCGCCGTATAGTTTGGTACACGTATGCCGGATTCTGTACACTTATCGGTTTGCTCTTAGCCTCGCACATGGTTTCCCTTCCATGTGTAATTGACCTATTTCTCGTGTAGCTTACTCTTCTCTACTGACGATGGGGACAACAAGTTCCTCCGAAACGTCCATCTGTATATACCAAAGTACGCGTGACAACGCAGAGGATGGCCGTGTTCATAGCCACTAACCCGAGAATCCCAAATATCGCGGCTATATTTATTTGCAATTCTTAAATTAATTATTTTGTTGTTAATTTAATTCCGGCTGTAGTCATGGCGTGCTGCTTGTGAAGCAGTGCTGTACCCCTAGGAGACAAGCGTACGGTTCTAGATTTCACTCATATCCTGATACGTAAGACGAAACTATGGCTGCCGTGGTGCGAGTTGCCTGGGAAACAAACATGTGGACCTCTCTTTCCTGTGCTACTAGTCAGTTCCCCGTTCCCAGGCTCCTGTTGGCAGAACACTCCTTCCCACACATCGAAACAAATCCGATACGACCTCCATGACCCCCCTGACACCCTAGCGAGATTGAATATTTATCGTTGCAGAATATTGCAGCTTCGCTGGGTGATGAAAATGTTCTTGCTGACCCCTTTGTTACAGGCCGGTGGGTGTGTGGGGCAAGATCGTGGGGTCCCTGTGTGCGATTGCCGGTGTGCTGACCATTGCTCTGCCAGTGCCTGTCATCGTGTCCAACTTCAACTATTTTTACCACCGGGAGACAGACCAGGAAGAGATGCAGTCACAGAACTTCAATCACGTGACCAGTTGCCCTTACCTCCCCGGTACATTAGGTCAGTTTCGCGGGAATATTCTTATACTGTGGTCACATTGGAAACGAAACTCGACGGATCGTGTCGAAACAGAGCCCCCCCCAAAAATGGCGAATTCAGTTGAAACTTCATCTCTCAGTGAGGGTGTGTGAACACTACTGCTTGCGTATCTGGTCCCACTGACAAAGTCTGGAACCTGCGTAGTTACCCGCCTCTGTAGGTCGGCCGCCACTGAAGCAACAAAATCATATCAATTTACACATGACGAACCCTCCCTAACCTGTCCATGTCTTTGACTTGTATTTTTCTCGACTCCTCACATTTCATATTGTGGCTCTGTACATATGTTCGCCACACTGGCACACGCGGTAGCGTAGTTGGTTCAGGCACTATGCTACAAGCCTGAAGGTCGCGGGTTCGATTCCCGATGAGGTAATTGCATTTTTCAAGTGGTCTAATCCTTGCAGCCGCATTATGGCCCTGGGGTCGACTCAGCCTCTAAAATGAAATGAGTAATAGAAATCTTCCTGAGGGTAAAAGGCGGTCTGCACTTAAGGCTGACAACCTCACCGCCATCTGTGAGCCGATTGTCTAGAAAATGTGGGAGCCTCGACATCTCAAAACCCTATTGGCTTCCATGGCCTGTTATAGGCATAGCTTTACCTTTTTATGATGGCCACATAGACAAAAATGGCATATTTTGTACCAGTCTATTCAAATTCTCTGTCCCTTATTTTTATAACTAGTAAGCATATTTCCTGCTCTTTGCGGTTGCAACATCAGTAGTTAGTAGTCCGCCAAATTCTCTGGTTATTCGCTGAAACACTGCCGTGCATGTGGCCACAGAATCAGAAACAAAATGAAAGAGCATCGTAAAGCGCGACGCGATCGCTGAAGTGACACACTAAAAAGAATTGGATTATTTAAAACTGTTTTGTGTAAGTTGGCCAGCTGACTGAATTGACCGGGTTTGAGTGGAACGCAAGTGGCCAGCATAGACGGACTTCACTGTAGTTTGTTTCCCTGCCGACCAATGGCCCAGAGCGAGTAAGCAGCAAAGCACACCGCTGCTTCGTTGTTTGGCCGCGAGGTCTGTGGCCTTCCTGCTTGGGTTCTGTGAAGACATCGGCGAATAAAAACAGATGAGAAACTGATTTACACCGACCGGTCAGTGGGGCTGCCGTTGGACGGGATCTAGCCCATTCATCTTCCAACGTGACCACAGCCTTATTGGTTTCAAGACGTTCAGTTCCACTTTCTTACTGCTTAATTACACAGGACTCCACTCCTTGACTTCCTTCTGAAGGGCACAGCACTATACAGTAGGATTAGAATCCAAATGTAAGACAGGAGAGTACTGTAGTGTTGCGGGGAACGCACTGCCTCCTCCTTCATGGTCGAAGAGTGAGCCAGAAATAACCCTGAAGATGGAGGCAGTGCGTTCCCCAGAAAAATCTGTTAAATTCTACCAGATTATACGGTGTTACATCCTACAGTAGCCGCCATGAAAACCTCTAATCCAGCATTCGAAAAAAAAAAGTTTACATTACACAAAATGTTATTGAGGAATTCTGTCTTCTGAGATGTAACGGCAATTAGTCAGTTGAAAGTCAACGGACGTTTCGGAGGAAGAATAAGCCATGCAACAAACCAGCATGAAACAGTTTCTCGGAAACTTCGATTGAATTTCAACGGACTACATGACGTTATATCGCAAAGACAGAACTCTTCATAACCACCAAAGTGAGAACCGGAAGTCATGCGTGTTGTTCCTTAGTTCATGCTCTTTGAACTTACTGTTGTTGCTGCATGTATCAGTTCCTTAAACATTGAAGAAGTCAGCATTTTACCGAACAGTTCCCTGCAGTTGCTTGCATCGAGAAGACACCTGACTCCAATCCTATCCAGACCTAGGTTTTTGTTGTTTCTCCCAGCCCCTGCGTGCAGATTCCAAGAGACTACCTTGAAGAAGGTCAAGGCTGTTTCCTGTCCAACTTAGTGCTCATTATGATGTGTTGTTGCTCTCGGTCTGCAGGTCAGCATATGAAGAAGAGCTCCTTGTCGGAGTCCTCGTCAGACATAATGGAGCTTGAGGAAGGAATCCTACTGGCGCGTGACGTCACCACCAAGAAGCAGAACTGCAACCCTAAACACAACAATAACATCAACGCGATGAGCATAGAGACGGATGTCTGACTACTGGGTGAGTGGAGAAGCGAGTTCTGCTACTGCAGATGCGTGACTGCCCTTATTTTGTGTGTATATCCTCTCTACATTGGTTCCATACTTCGGCCTCCACCCAGTCTCTGGAGCCATTTTTATTGCAACACATCGTGAGTAACTTTAGCTGCGGTTTACATGTATCCGCCTTTCAGTCTCCACAGCCACTCCATTTTTGAGGGGTATGTGTTTTCCATTCTGTAACTTCCAAAGAAAGAATCTAATGAAATGAAGTTGGGTGACTGGGGAGACCAGCAAATCGATCCAACTCTTTTGTTGCACATGTTCTGAAACTGGGCATTCGGTGATTGTCACGTGTTGTGTCACCTTCTTGAAGGATCATCTTAGCTTATCCTCGAATCATTAAAAAGCATAATTTTGCGTATCACTTCTGGTGTTTGTTCTCTGAAGAAAGGGTAACCTATCACCTCTGGTGTTTGTTCTCTGAAGAAAGGTTAACCTATCACTTCTGGTGTTTGTTCTCTGAAGAAAGGTTAACCTATCACTTCTGTGTTTGTGGGCTCAATTCATACGTTTGTTACAGAAGTGTCTTTTTCATTTTCTGGGCTTTCATTAGGTGTATCAGGACCCCAAATCATAAAATTATGCCTTTTTATACCAACTTATTCGATTTTCTCGAAACCGGCCTTACCAGTGAGACGAATTTCATTTTTGTTCGATATTCAACAACTAACAGTGGTATTCCGAGCAACAATGAATTTATTATTATTTATTTATTATTTTATTTAAACTGCAAATGGGTTTTGACTCGGTGTCATAAGTACTACAATAACACACGTCACACAAAATAACACACCACACTCAAACAAAACACAGCACACAGAACTACGCAAACAATAGAGGGCACACCACACAAAATGTATGCATTGCAAATACGATTTACAACTACAGTTAAATAAATAAATATTAATAAAAAATAAGTACGCTATACATTAAACAGTAAGAATAATGGCATAAATTTCGTTTCCGTGTTAACGTAGTGAAGGTCAGTCGCATATGAGGAAGTGTGTGCAGTGTCCTTTCTCTGTCTCTTTCTTTTGCAGAGGACTCCCAAAAAATTAGAGCCCTCGGTCATATTCGCTTATGTTCGGAAGGCCGTTACTGATTGCTGAGTATACAAGTCGAAAATGTGCGCACGGCGTGACGTTTCCATAAGACTCATGGAAACGAAGTGAAACAAAATCTGTGTTTTGTTTTTCTCTACGAGTTTTGTTTCCATAAACATTCGACTAGCCTTGCCGGAACGTGTTCAGGTCTCTGTGTACAGTGATCATTAGAATTGCCCAATCTGAGTGAAATCCAAATGGCTGGACGCGTAACCTAACCCCACAGATCTTTTCTCGACACGTTCTGTACTGAAACTGAGACTTTCCTAATGAAAATAGACAAGGTATACGTTGTGTTGGTTAAAGCACTATGGTACTAGCAGGAAAGTCGCGGGTTCCAATCCCGATTAGGCTATTGGATTTTTCAGTTGACCGAAACCTTCCAGCCGCACTATGGCCCTGGGGTCGACTCAACCTCTAACAGAAATGAGTACCAGGAATCCTCCTGGGGAGTAAAGGGCGGCCGGCGCGTAGGGCTGACAACCTCACCGCCATCTATGAGCCGATTGTCTAGAGAAAATGTGGGAGCCTCGACGTCTGACGGCCCTATGGGCCTCCATGGGCTGTTACAGGGATAGCTCTACCTTTTGCACGTTGTGCTGCTGGGGTCGAGATAGTTCAGTCATTATAGGGACTAGGCTACGAGCTGGATGATCGAGGAATCCAAATTCGATTCCCAGCAGGGCAAGCAGTGCTTGTCTTCGGCGCTGTTTCTTCGGCGCTGTTTCAAGACCCGACCGTGAGGCACACCCATCGCCATCCCACTGGATAGCGGGACCTCCTTTCTAGGAGATAAATGAAGCCGACCACTCACCTCCACCCAATATCCAGGTTTAGATTACGTGGAGCCATACCTCCACTCTCCCATGAGGCTTAATATCATAGTGCTTAATGAAGCGCAAAGAGAGTGCGGCATCACGCATTGCGCAGTTGTGTTTTACAGTTGCGTCACGGTAAGTTAGCGTGACGCTTGTTTTATCGCCCGCGCACGGACGTACAAAGTGACGCGGGGAACGCAACACACAGAGATACAAGTAAATTCACGTAGCCGGATGTGTCTGTTATACGAGGGGAGTCAGTAAATGGGTCACAGATGGTAGTAAAACAGCTGTAATGGTCGTAATAGGCTTCCTTTGTGTATCACTAGGTAGCAGCACAGTCCAGCTTCATGACAGGAGTGCATGCGCATTGTCAGAGGCTGGTTTCATTAGTCGAAATGGCGACCGTGCTTGAGGATTGTACTACCGAAGAGCAGCGTTCTGTTATGCTTTTTGTGGCCAGTAGGACTCAATACAAAGGATAGTCATAAAGAAATATTTCATGTTTACGGTGGGAAGTGTTTGTCGTGTAAAGCGGTTCACAAATGAGTCGATAATTTCATCAAGGACGTTCGAAAATCGCAGATGATGAAACGGAGGCGCGGAAGCGGCTGAAACAACAGTCAAAAGATTTCTCTGCTGCGGGTTTCGGCGCACTGGTAAAGCGATGGGTACACGTGTATCACTGTTGGTGGAGGATATGTCGAGAAATAAATGTTGTTCTTTTTCGGGTTATGATGTAACATTTTTCACGTTTTATGTCCGTTTGTGACGTATTTGCTGACTTTTCCTCGTCCCCACCCCAACTCACCAATCGCGCTTACTTCTCAAGGTTCCCTCCGGTGGAACGCGTAGCTCCCCGTTTTAGTTGCGTTCCAGCCGCATAACCCCGTCCCTACAGCTCGTTCCATTCATCATATCTGCAGGTCGCCTGCACGGTTTGCTTTTATGTGGAGAATTTTATAGGCGGCGAAGTTCTAATAGCAGAACTGGTGGATATTGGATAAAACTCGAAAACTTCCCAGCGCACCTCCTTGGTTGTTCATGAAGTGTACGAAATTTTCGATTCTGTAATCTTTAAATTAAGGCATGGGAGCCGCCACCATCTTTTTCGTCTCACATCGAACAGTGCAGTTAAATAAACTTCTCCTTAGAAATCCATCTCGTTCCGAGAGGAGCGTGTTCGCTGCTGTGGCAGAAAACCGTCCCTGTCGTCACTATGGCCACACCGCGTCACCTCGCCCCATACACATCATTTTTACGTCCTTGCGCCGACTCCAGATTACGTTCGTGTGACCTTGGCCCCAATTCGATGCATGCCGGTACTCGGGAACTTGACACACACTGTTTAACAATGCTTTATCAAACACTGTGAAAGCTAGAGCTCATGAAATACCTGGACCTGTCAAAGATTATGAAAATTGCGCTTTTTCGGTTGTTACGCAACGGTCAGCATCGCGGTTCGTACTGGTCACATAGTAATTTCAGGATAGTGAAATGCAGAAGGCAACGGTAGATATGGAGGAGACAGGAAATAAAAATAAAATGTTGGTGGTACAACCTCCTGAAGAACTTCCAATATGAAGACCAAGAAATATGTAAGAGGATAACATTAATATTCATCTTAAGGAGATATGGAATAATTAGAATGATCAAGTCAAGGAGGATGCGGTGGGCAGGGCATGTAGCACGAATGGGGGAGAAGCGGAATGCATACAGGATATTGGTGGGAAAGCCAGAAGGAAAGAGCCCACTGGGAAGACCAAGGCGTAGGTGGGTGGACAATATTACAATGGATCTTAGGGAGGTAGATGAGATGGTATGGATTGGATTGATCTGGCTCAGGATAGGGACCAGTGAAGGGCTCTTATGGACACAGAAATGAAACTTAGGGTTCCATAAAATGCTGGGAAGTTCTTGAGTAGCTGCACAATTGGCGGCTTCTCAAGAAGGGCTCAGCTCCATAAGTGATTGAGTGAGTGAGGATATTGGGGGAGGGGGGGTTATTATTAGCTGCTCTGGAACCCTGCTTTCTGCCAATTANTTGTAATGGAAACGCAGTGTATTTTCTTTGAGGCAGAAAGTGGATTTTTAAGCTTCCGAGGCTTGACCCAGAAACCGACACTCGGCGCGGTTCTCACGATCAGCATTCGCGTCCGTTCAATCCATATCTTGAGTGTTCTGCTGCCTTGTATTACGGCAGGCAAACGGGCCATTTTCTGTGGTTGTTGCGCTGTTTTGCCGCTAAACCTCCGCCTAGATCAGGTGTTGGCTGCTGATATGTCAGAAGTGGCATTACCGCACACAAGGAGAGGCCTTCGGTTTGATTGTAATGTTTATGTGAGAGCCATTGATGGAAGCTGGATACACAGCGCTCAGAGTGAGCGAGTAGTTCCTGCTGCATCATCCAGGGAGCAGCACTAAAGAGGGACCGTATTGAACGCTTTCTGGACCTCTCAACAGACCTCGCTTGGCGAAGGGGTGAAGCGGAGAACGGCATGAGATGCTTCACAAGATAAAGAGGAAAACGAAATTATTTTCTGACGTCATTATTTCAGAGTTAATTGGATCCCAACCTAGAAATCACGTTCCTGGCTAACATCTTAAGGTCTCTAGGGTACAGGTTGTCTAGTGGGTGGGAATTCAATCTTGCGCGTTTCCCAGCATCCGTTTACTTCCGTATTCTTTCACGTAAAAACCGATATTAAGCAAATGAGTCAATTAAGTTGCTACTACCGATTGATATATAGTGCTTAAGAAAATAATTCTCCCTCGCTTTTCCATGTGGTCGCCAAAAAAAAAACCTATCCATCTGTATGCCCTCCCAGACTCATTCTTCCCCACCGATTATGAGGGTGTCATGGGTTTTCTCAGTCCCTCCAAGCAAACGGCGGGGTAGTATCTCGCTTAGCCCACGGCCGCATCCTTCCAGATCCTTTCAATTTCATCCTAACAGCGTCGTAAAATCCACTCCAAAGAGGGATTCCATAGAAGAGATCTTTTTCAGGAACTAGCAAACATAAATTAGGCGTATTTTT